AAGGACCATCAGCCTAACAATGGATCATTAGCACACTGATGGCTGTTAACTACTCACAGATGGCTGAGTGATACTAGCAATCACAGCATTGTAAGAGGGGGACAGTTGAACCCGGAGGCCTCCACCCCTGTTTAATGATGGACGATTTCTTTTCACAAAGATGGCCTCCTTTACTCCTCTCTCAAACCATCGTTCCTCTCTGTCCAGGATGTGAACATCTTCATCCTTGAAAGAGTGACCGCTGGCCTGGAGATGAGTGTAGACCGCAGAGTCCTGGCCTGATGATGTTGATCTTCTGTGCTGGGCCATCCTTTTGGCCAGTGGCTGTTTAGTTTCCCCGATGCAAGACTGATCACAGCCCTCCTGACACTGAACAGCATACACAACATTACTTTGTTTGTGCCGGGGGACTGGATCTTTGGGATGAACCAGTTACAAAGTAATGTTGTGTATAAACCAGGCCAGCGGTCACTCTTTCAAGGATGAAGATGTTCACATCCTGGACAGAGAGGAACGATGGTTTGAGAGAGGAGTAAAGGAGGCCATCTTTGTGAAAAGAAATTGTCCATCATTAAACAGGGGTGGAGGCCTCCGGGTTCAACTGTCCCCCTCTTACAATGCTGTGATTGCTAGTATCACTCAGCCCTCTGTGAGTAGTAAACAGCCATCAGTGTGCTAATGATCCATTGTTAGGCTGATGGTCCTTCTTGAGCATGTGATCAGCTGGTTTTGGTTGTCAGCAGCAAACTGGTTGATCCACTCTGTGAAGGTGCTATTTAAGAGACTGAGCTGAAAACAGCACCTCAGACTGAGGAAGTCTCTTGGATGAGAGACGAAACGTTTCTAGATTTTTTTTGCTTTGTTTTGTTTTTTGTTTTTTTGAATGTCCAGAGGACCAGATTTAACTTTTTTGGACTGTGTAAGATATTAGACTGAAACTTTGTTCGCTAACTGCTGATTACCACACGACATGTTGAAAAGCATAAAGGAAGTGCTTGTCAAACATTCGCAAATAAAACAAGAAGTCACCATAACTCCTGTCTGGAAGGTCAGATTTCGCATATACTTGTAAGACCTGCAGCTGGACAAGTAACGACAGGGACGGAAGGCGATGTCGAAGATTCGGGAAATGCGCACCGTGGTGAACGCCTGCGGGATTGGCACGAGAGCGTTCGTGATGGCGACTGGGTGGACTAGCTGGAGCTCTTGCGGAGTTTGTAGCTGCTGCTCTCAGTGCATCTCCGCATCATTCAGAACTCTGAATCCACCAGGTGCATCTGGTGATGATGAGCTGCTGAGGTCACGTGAGAGCTGTGCTGCGTGAGTAACATGGCAGGATACTGCTAAACAAACGATTCAACTCAGGTTAAACAAGCCAATATATTACAATCAAGCATAATAAATGTTGTTAATAATAACCTCTGCATATTGTTTCAATAAACCAAAACTGGACGAGGAAACCTTGGACAGTCCGGAGAGTTACGTGGACGAGTGTTTTGAAAACATCGTGATGGGTAAACCACAAAAAAACACCGCATCCACGGCAACACCAACTCCTAAACGCACGCGTTCGGAGAGCTCAACCCGCACATCCACCTCTCCAGAGAAAAGCTTCACTGATGTCCTGGGCTCTATAGACAAGAAGCTAACCAGCTTAGATGCCCGGCTGGCCCTGGTGGAGGTTCTCCACAAGGAGTTCCAAGCACTGAGGGAGTCTCTGGAGTTCAGCCAAGCTCAGGTGGTGTCGCTCGCTGCAGAGAACCAAACTCTGAGGGGTAACGTTAAAGAACTCACCGAGAAGATGTCGCAGCTGTCCGGAGATAACAGGAAAATGAAGGAGTCCACCCTGGATATTCAAGCTCGGAGCATGCGGGACAATCTTGTCTTCTCAGGGATCCCAGAACGAGCAGAGGAGGATGCTGAAGTTACAATCTGTGAGTTTATTCAACATCAGCTGAAACTCCCAAGTGAAACGGTAAAAAACATCACTTTCCATCGCGTTCACCGGATCGGAGTTAAGAAGCCCGATAACAAGCGACCTCGACCAATTATCTCTAAATTTGAGCACTTTAAACAAAAAGAGCAGGTGAGAGGTCGGGGCAGAGAGCTGCGTGGGACGGACTTCAGTGTGAACGATCAATTTCCTAAAGAGATCCTCGATCAGAGGCGGGTTTTGTTTCCAATCAGGAAGAAATACATGTCTGAGGGCGTCAGAGCTACGGTGGCTGTAGACAAACTTTATATTAATGGTCAGTTGTTCAGGGAACGGGACGTCACTCCGTGGCTTTATTAAAAGGAAACAACAGGTTAGTTTGAAGGAGGGCTGTTCAACTGACGGCCCGCGGGCCAAGTCAGGCCCACAGGTGAGCTAAGTTCGGTCCACCAATGGGTTCACTCTTAAAACTAAACTAGAGTATAAAACAAAGTAACTTAATGATAAGAACTAGTGGATATCTGACCCCTGGGCGCTTGGTTCTCAGTAACTGTGGCCCCCTGGGCAGTTTAGTTGAATAGTCCTGGTTTAACGCTTGGAACACTGGAGGTAAATTAACTGGCATTTGTAAATAAAATGTAAAGCACAGCTTGGTAAGGTGTCTGCACTGGTGGTGGTGAACGGTGTCACAGCTATTTTATTTATTTATTTATTTTTTTTTTTCCTCTCTTTTCCTTTTTATTTTTTTTATTTTCTCTTTTACGTTTATCTGTTACCACATCACTTCATCAGTCTTTTTCTCTTCTTTACCAACAAACATTTACGCACAAGCACACCAAAACATACACATGCGCGCACACACTCGCACACGCACCAGAGAACTTTATATCTTTCAACTTCTCTCACACCCAGATTCTACTCAATATTCTTGTATCTTTCCACTTCAAACTTCACTGTGTGTTTCTAAACATCTAAAAGGCAATCTCAAGCAATAACTGTGATTTTAGTTGGATCTGTTTGTCTCTATGGTGACATGCGCTGGTCAACTTTAGCTACTCACGCACAACTATGGGCACATTAAGGTTTGTGACTTGGAATGTGAATGGAACCAGTATTCAGCAAAAAAGATTAGGAATTTTAAACCAGCTTAAAAGATTACAGGCAGATGTCTTTTAACAAGAGACTCATAAATCTATTACAACTGCAGATGATCTTAAATCACCTGACTTTCCTGATGTGTTTTGTGCCTGCTATAACTCAAAACAAAGGGGAGTGGCAATATTAATACACAAAAATGTTAATTTTACAGTACTAGACACAGTTACAGACCCAGAGGGTAGATATTTA